CAACCCACAAACGTTGTGATTCAACATTGAACCAAATCAAAACAAGCTGTACCACAACATTTGTGGGTTGGCCCACAAGCGACTAGGACATGGCAAGTCATAGACTTGGTATTAAGGATAGAAACAGGATATACGCGGCAGTGATTGGAGCCAGTGGGCTGACATTAGGTCTGTTATACCATAGATGTGGTCCGTGAAGTATTACTCGGGGTCTTTAGCCTTAAGTTAGTCCCTCAGACGCAGAGTGTAGGAAATAACGCATTGAATAGCACAGATGGGGTGGCAGGGGTCTAGGGAAATACCTGAATCAGGGAGAGAGCAGACGGATCTTACGGGGCAAGAGAGAGACTATGATAAGACCTAGGGAAGGCGGACTGCGTAACAATATGGCAGACTCTGATCGACATGCTCAGCACAAGGGTGAAGGGGGGTGAGAACGCAAAGGTGAAGCAAGAGAAAATCGTAACAGTGACGGTGTGATACGAGGATATATGAAATGGGAATAGCCCAAGGCAGAAGGGGAGATACCACAACTGTTTAGCACACTTTTGGTCAAAGGATAAGTTTATCTGTCTCTTTGACGAGTTGTTATAGGGTGCTAAGAATGGCGATACTCACTGACGATGCCGGCGAAACGTCTGGGAATGTACCATGTTCACAGTCCTACTCTGGAAATGATGATGCATACAATGGATTCCGGACTAGGTGCGTTCCTCTAAGTCGTCCTACCAATATGACCAAGTTGCGAAAACAAGATCAAACAACCTCTAAGAAGTTTAGGTTTCCTGTCCATTATTTTCATAGTTTTTGTGTTAAATGATGACGTTCACAAAAAGTAGTACATTTATGCACTTCATAGAAATCAGAAAAAACTGGCTTTTGAAGAATCCCTTAAAAGGTTAATATTGTTGTAATTTTCATTTCGTTTGAAAGATGGATAAAATATATCCCCAAATTGGACTCTTTGTGAAGCCGATCAAAGATTGCTTTGGAATTGCAATCTCGATGAATCAATGCTGAGCTTTCCACTGTCATTTGCCAGACAATGTCTAGAAGGTTGTCAGGTTGTATTCATAGATCTCTCTTATAGCCTCAAATTTGCCCATTTAGGGCTGAATTAACCTAAACACTCACTTTAAAAATACCTGTTTACCACACTTTTCTGGCTTACCTTCTTTTTATTTTACAGAATTGTTTACTGATTTGAAGCCATGCCATTCGCTTCTCTACAAGATTGTGCTTCATGTTTTCGTCTCCATGATCGGTGGATTTCATGTAAGAAATTGTTTATGATTTACAGATATTTTTTTGCACATACCTACGCTTTATACTCAATCGTCGACATTTATGTCAGGCTTAGCATAAATTGAATTTTAAAACATAGGCTCACCAAAGATCAACTGGGGTTTCCAAGACTTTTTACCACGGCATTTAGCAATAATTTAATATTAAATGCCGGAACCTATTATAGCATGACTTTCCATTTCTAAGGAAAATTTGGTTGGAGGGAATTTGTGAAAAGGTCTCTCATCGTGACCCGAAGGAGGCTTGCCGCGGAGTGAAGAATGTTGGATTTGGCGAAGAAGTCGCCGGCTCACCGTCCAGCGAGCCCGATTAACATGCGTTAAGTTTTTTTTCTTATATCCTTCTCAGACATCACCAGATTGATAATCTATACTTTATGAAATGTTGCAAAAGTACACTAAACCAAGCGAAAAGGTGGCCGACTGGAAGTATATCCATTTCTTTATTCAGCTTTTCTTGCGGTCCTAATGAGATATGATTAGAAGTTGGGTCTCTAAGAATCCTTTAGCAAATTGATGCTGGTACAAATTTTATTTTATTTGAAAAGACTCACTGTCCACGATCCTGTCCCATCTGTGCTGAGCTTTATCCCGTCATGCGACGGGCATTCTCCGAACCAGAAATCATTATTTGCAAACAATCACTAAAAAAACACTAAACTTTCCTCTCTTTCTTGGAATAAACATATCAGGACTTTGGTGACTATCTCAAACGTACTCTACATGCTTGCAGATGAGTCAAGAGATTATCATAACACAAACCCGCTTGTAACGATTGATGAGTACCAAAATCTGAGCTCACCTTTCTCATGTTCGATACAGGACACTAAATGAACCGGTCCAAAACAACATTTTTTCTGATTACGAGAGCCTATAGAAATAAATAAAACAGCTAATTTCATGAATAGGATGAAAGAATGCACGCAATTGAGTGGCTGTTGGATGGGCTTAAGGAGAGGGAGAGAGTGGGGTACAGGAAAAGCCAATGAACAAGAGAAAGAGGTTGGATTAGCCTCGAGACATGAGCCTCGAGACATACACATAATAGACACAAGCACAAACTCAAACATCAGTCAGCATTACAGGCTCATGCGCTAAATGATTTGTGGAAGGAAACAGTTGCCACCGCGTCGGCTTCCGGTTGGTGAAGTAACTTCACTCATCTGCAAGTATGAAGAGTAAATTTGAGGCAGCCAACAAAATCATGGGAGGCCTTATTAAGGTCGTAAGGAAAGGTGTAGAGAAAGCAATTAGGGTTGCAACATTTTTCGCGCCATTAAGTAAAGTATCTGTTCTTGCTATGAAGATGTCTGTTATGGCGATACCGACGAATGCTTAGCACAGGACGGTGAGCCGAGGACTTCTTCGCCTTACTCCGGTGATACCATTTCACGAATTGTGTCAAACCAACATTTCTTTTGAAATGGAAAGTCATTTCAGAATAAATCACTAAGGAATTCTTCGTAATCTAGTCATTTTT